AAGCAGAGCAGAAGTTGTGAGGATGGTGGAGGAGCCAGCTCTGGCACCTAACTGCCTACCAAGCCACTGTGCTCATTCCTTTACATACGTTACTACATTTACTCGTCACAGTTATGCTAAGCAGTGTAAATCCCAAGTGTTGCACTCGGGATGCATCAGTGGACAAAACAATCAAGAGCAGAGGTCATTATGTTCTGATGCTATTATTTCTGTACCATTTCTTGTTATTGCTAATAATCCTTGGTTATGATTGAGCTTGAGTACCTTTTCATGTTTGTTAGTAATTTACACGTTTTCTATAAAATCTCTGGTCTATTCTTTTTTTTTTTAACCAGCACAGATGGTCTATTCTTTATTCTTCATTTGGAGGAATTCTTTAGTCATTTATTTCTATTATATGTGTTATAAATTATTTCTCCCATTTCATGGTAGATTCACGCAGAAGCATTAAAAGTAACTAGTATTGGAGTGGGCAAAGATGGAAATTTCTGGTCAGACGACCGGTAAACAAGGGACGTGAGTGTAATTCACAAAACAGTTGAGTAAGAAGAGGAGTGCCAACACTCCTGGGCATTTGTGGCTTACTTGAAGCTCTATTCTTTTAGTTAGCAGTTGAATGCATTAATCATTTCCCACCACCACAGGTCTCCTGACATGTCCTGAAAGGAAGCAAGTAACTACTGCAAAGCTGCTCTGGCTATTGAGTTGATTCTGACTCTTGATGAATGTGCAGTGGTGAGGAGCTCTGGTGGCCTAGTGGATTATGCTGCAGTCCCGGAGGCAGAGGCCACAAGCTGCTCTGTGGGAAAATGATAGGCAGTCTTCTCTTGTGGTACTGCCTCTGAAAACCCACTGGAGGGTCAGCTGTGGGTCAGTCCCAACTCTACAGTATACAACAACAACTACGAATGTTGAGATGCACCCCACATTGAAGGCTGTAGTCTGTTCTTTTGCAGAAAGTACATCTTCACTTTCTGCAAGCCAGATTGTATCATCTGCATAACACAAGTTGGTTGTTTATAACTTAGAAAGCTCGAAATGTGTAGCACCAAGGATGTTCTAGATAAGGGCAAAAAGCTATATGCCTGTACAGAGCATTTTCGTTAAATCACAACATACCTCCTTTCTGCCCTGGAATAATTACAATAAGCCAGAAGAAACCTTGAAGACAGTTTTGCCTCTCTGAGGATCTCCCTTTTGTCCTTTCCTCCCCTACTCAGAGGAGCACTGGAGACTTAATGGTAAGGAGTTGCCTTGGCATCCCAAAGGCACAAGGTTTAAATCCACCAGCTGTTTCACAGGAGAAAGATGGACCATTTCCCTTGTATAGTTTCCAGCCTCTGAAAATCCACTGGAGAGTCAATGGCAGGGAACAACCACTACAACCTCTACTGAAATTGTCCAGTTGAACCTGGTGAACAAATGTATTAAGACTTAAAAGTGAGAAAAGAACATTGCTATGTGTTCTATAGATTGCCAAGAGTTCAGCCATTTTCTGTTGAGTAAGTTCATTTATAGTGACTCCACCTATATTAGGGTACAACATAAGGTAGCAGGCTGCTAACCAAAAGGTCAGCAGCTTGAATCCGCCAACAACTTCATAAAGTAAGATGGGTAGCCTTGTCCTGTAAAGATTCACAGCCTCAGAAATGCAAGGGTCACTATGAAGCTGAATCAGCTCTACAGCAGTACACAGGGACTCTTTAGAGTTTTCAGTGGCTAGTTTTTAGCAAGTAGGTCACTAGATCTTTCTTCAGAGACCCCTCCGAGACTCAGACCTCCAACCTTTCAGTTAGCAGCTAAGGATTTTAACTGCACCACCCAGAAACTCTGAGAGAGTTACAGGGTATTAAAGTTAAAGCATCTTCATGCAGCTGCCCTTTCTGACCTGATGTTTCTCATTAAAGAGTTATACCTTGAAGGTTTGGGGTTTTCAGTTCCTAAGACTGAGAATGTATTCTTTTTCAGAACTTAAAGATGGTCAGCTCAAGGGCTTTGTGGTTTAGCATCCTGGGACTCTCAACAGCTATCTTATGATGTCTGCATCAATGTGAAATGAATTCATCTGTTCCCTGGTAGAGATTATCCAGCTCTTTATAAATCTGTGCTGGATCGTAAAGGTTTACCTCTCTTACCATGTTGCTGTGCTCCTTAATTCTGTATGTTCTAGAATTTGTTTTCACTGCAACTGATTGAGAACCAAAACCAATACTGGCTGAGGAAGGTAAAGCATTTGTTTTTATCTCACATAAATAGAGACAGCTTCTTGCTCTCTGGGGAAATATTCCTTTTATCTCCTTTTCCCTCTTTCTTTACCCATGGTGGCTGTTCAGCTTGCATTTCTGCTAGTGTGCAGGAGGAATGGAAAAGGAGAATATAATCCTTCCCTTCCTCACCCACACCCCTCACCCCGTTAAGTGTTTATCAGAAGTTGCCCATACCACTCTGCTCACTTTTTTGTAAACTAGCAGCAGTTAATATAGCCACAGCATCAAAGAGGGGCTTGGAAATACATGTCTGACTGAAGATAGGGATCCTTAATCCTATAGCAGAAAATGAGAACAGGGATTGTGAAACAACCATTTATGTGCTCTGCATACACCTTCTTCTGTAATGACACTTTTTTGTGATGTTTAAGAAGAAAAGCATAGAATAATACAAAGTATACAGCCAATTTGAAATCACTTTTACAAGAATGACAAATTCTTACCTATTTAAAAAATTTTTTCTTTGATTTGGAAAGTTTAAGTAAATTGTGTTTTGTTTTTTGCAGATGAGGGAAAAGAGGTTTATTAATTCATTTGTTAATTCCATTCATCCATTCATTAATCCAATAAATGCATATTACATTTCTAGCATAAACTTGGGTCCAATATTTATAAACTTCTAATCAGCACACAAATTGTTAGTAAAATATAATGTAGTAAGTGCAGTACACGCATACGTTGGATTCTGTGGGGATTCAGAAGAACATGAACTAATAGTAGCTTGTGGGTAAAGGAGTACTTCCTGGAGGCATGAAAACTAGAATTGTATTTTTTTGTTTTCCTTTAAATTTTATACTGGTTTACTTACAAAGTTTGTATACATTGTTTCTCACACTGGATCTTTCCCATTTCCTTAACCCCCCCCTCTTTCCTCCCAACAAATTGTGAGACCCTATGATAATAACTGCCCCTCCCATCCTCATTCCTCTGCTCTCACCCTTGCCCCCTTAGATCCTCATACACGTTTTACTAGTTATTTCTACAATAATGGTTTTATACAGTATTTCTCCTTATGAAACTGAGTTCACTTAGCATAATGCTTTCCACTCCCTCCCAAATTCGGTAGTGATTTACAAAATCATTGCTCCTGTATGCTGGATAGTAGTACATCGTGTGAATGTACTATAATTTCGCGATCCATTCAATTACAGTTGAACATTTGGGCTGTTTCCATGTTCTTGCAATGGTGAATAATGCTGCAGTGAACATTGGTGTACAAGTCTCCATTTGTGCCTCAGTTCTCATTTTCTTGGGGTATATTCCAAGCAGTGGAATAGCTGAGTCATATGGAATTTCTATATTCAGCTTTTTGAGGAAGTACCGATCTGCCTTCCAGAGAGTGGTTATACTATTTTACAATCCCATCAACAATGTATAAGAGTTCATATCTCGCCACCACTTCTAATATTTGTTATTTGCTGTCTTGTTAAACTTTGCCTCTGTTACTGGGGTGAAATGGTATCTCATTGTGGTTTTGATTTGAATCTCTCTTATTGCCAGTGATTTTTTAAAATTTTAGTGTATGTGTGTGTGTGTGTGTGTGTATATACCATCAAATCGGATCTGACTGATGCAGGAGAAGATTGCCCCTCCTTCTCCAGTAGGGCATCTGGCAGATCCGAACCATGAACCTCTGGGATTACAGTGCAGCTTCTTGCCACTAGGCCACCAGAGCTCCCTTTGCCAGTGATTTTGAGCATTTCTTCATGTGTCTGTTTGCCATTTGAACATCTTCCTCTGTGAAAATTCTTTCCATGTCTTTTGACCATTTTGTAACTGTATTATTAGTCTTTTTTTGTGGAGGCCCTGTAGGGTTCTATAAACTTTTGATAGGAGACTCTTATCTGAAATGGTATTGTGAATAGTTTTTCCCCTATCAGTAGGTTTTCTTTTCATTCTGTTGGAAAAAGTTTTTGCTGCAGCAGGGATTTAATCTTTAGAAGGTCCCATTCATCAATTTTAGCCTCTCCAGATTGTGTATATCAATCAGGCTATATTTGGCAGTCTCTTTATAAAATAGATGAGGCCATCTTGATTCCAGTTTGTTTCTGATGAACTTTATGGTTTGGGACTTTACTCTCAGTTCCCTGATCCACCTTGAGTTGTTTTTTTTTTTTTTTTTGGTATGGTGTGAGATGTGGATCCTGTTTTAGCTTTCTGTAGCCCAGTTTTGCCAGCATCATTTGTTGAAGAGTTAAATAAATTTTAAATTATGTTCTAAATTGTTTTATTTTGTCTAAATTTTAGAAGTTTAACTTTTTTAGTAAACAAAGGGCTGAGTTTTACTGATTTATTTTTAAATATAGCAAATACCATTCAGCACATCAGATGTAAAACATAGGAGCAGAAATTTGTGCCTTTTAACTAAATGTTGTTGTTTACCTTCAAATTGGAACTCAGAGTAGCTGGCAGATTCTAACGACATGCCATTAGGATTGCAGCACAGCTTCTTTTCAGTGAGGATAATAAAAATATTAAGCCTTCAGTGACTGGAGCAATGGGATTATGTTTGTCAGAGATGATAACATTGGATCATGATAGGTCAGGTTTCAGGGCTAATGTTTCAGGGTCACTATGAGTCGCAGGTGACTTGATGTCACATAACACCACCAACATCCTTCAGAACAGAGCTTGAAGAAAATGTAATCTTTGTCTACTTACTCTTAAAGTGATTCACCTTTCAAATGCACTGTATTTATGCTATACGTGATGAAAATTCTTTTTCCTCCATAGGCAAGAAGTTTAATAGCTGTAGGACTGGGTGTTGCAGCCTTTGCATTTGCAGGTAAGAGAAATAAAGTATTTGCATTGCTTTAGTTATCTCATGCAGCTGTCTCAGAAACACCACGTATGTTGATGGCATTAAACAACTAACATGTATTTTTTTACAATGTAGGAGGCTAGGAGTCTGATTTCTGGGCCTAGACTCCAGGCATTCTCTGTTTTCGGCAGCTCTTGGGCAAAGTCTCCTCACTTCTGTGTCTATGTTTTGGGGTTTTGGAGGGAGATCTTGGTGTCTCTTGGCATCAATCTTTTCCCATCTCTGCTTTTTTGGTTTAATTTTTTAAAATAATATTAATAGTGTAGAGATTGATTTATGGCACACTGTATGCTAATCCTTCCCATTAACATAAGAGACAACCGTTTTGACATGGGGTTATAATCAGAGATACAGAAGTTAGGATTTATAAAACCTAGTTTGGAGAACAGACTTAATTCATATTATTCCACTCTTTGGCTCACCAAAATTCATATCCTTCCCACATGTAAGACTCATTTACCCCAGCACATCATCCCAAAAGTCCCAAAGCTCATCTTATGAATATCTAACCCAAATATGTTGTTGTTGTTTCATGCCATGGAGTCAATTCCAATTCCTAGTGACCCTGCGAACAACGGATTTGAACCTTGCCCTATCCTGCACCCTTACCATCTCTGATATACAACAACCCACTGTTAAAATAACTGTCAATCTTTTTGAGGATCTTTCTTTCTCTGACCCTCCGTCTTTACCAATGACTGACCCTTTCTGACATGTCCAATGTATGTTTCACCATCTTTGTCTCTGAAGAGCACCCGATTGCACTCTTTCCAGGCAGACTTATTTCTTTTGGCAGTCTATGGAACTCAAGTATCGGTAAGACTTGGAGTTTTTCTTCCTGGGGCAAAATACTTCTTTTGTGAATCTGGGAAATGTAAATTATCTGTTTCCAAAGTACACAGTGATGAAACAGACACAAGATAGACATTTCAGATGGGGAGAAATTGGAGGAATAGAAGGGATAATAGGCATCAAACCAGTGTCATACCAGCCAAACAGTGAACTTGCAAATGTTGAAAATAACTTTTTTCTCTCTTACATTATTTGGACATTGGTCCACCTTCGAGGCACTGTATTTAATACATTCCATATTCCAACTATTAAAGGATGTCTGCAGCTATTTCTCATTTTGATTGACTTTCAGTAAGATTCCAATGCTATAACAGCTTTTGAACAAAAGATTTCAAAGAGCAACGTAAGACAAAGCAAAATATTATAACAGAATATACAGAGATCTGGAATTGGAAACGGAAAACAGAAGAACTTGCACAGCATTTCTCAAGCTGAAAGAACAGAAAACCAAAGTTAAACCTGAAGTTGTAATACTTAGATTTATACGGGCAAAATCTTGAATAACCCAGGAAGCATCAGAAGAAGATGGAAGGAATACAGAGAGTTACTGTATCAAAAATAATTAAGTCGACACTGAAATACTTCAGAAAGTACTACATAAGCAAGACCCAGTGGTAATGAAGGAAGGAGTTCAAGCTGCAGCGAAGTCATTGGCAAAAAATAAGGCCCTAAAAGTTGGTCACCAGTTGTCATGTTTCAGATTTAAAGAGAAAAAAAAAACAAAAACAAAGCAACCAAAACCCTTGCTTGCTGAAAGTGAGGAAAACTTGAAGCGCTTGTTGCAGACACTTCAATATGGATTGCATCTCAATGTCAAGAAAAGAAAAACCCTTGCCACTGGATCAATAGGCAACATTATGAAGGACCAAGAAAGGATTGAGACTGTCAAAAACTTCATCTTGCTTGAATCTGCTTGTTACCAGCAGTCGGATTGGGAGACCTATTATACTTGGAAAGTCTGCAGTCAGGAACCTCTCCAAATTACTGAGGGGTGATGTCAGTTTGAGAACTAAGTTGCACCTGATTCTTTCCAATCACTTGCTTTGCATCTGAGAGCTGTAAAATGAATAAGGATGACAGAAGAACAATTGATGCCTTTGACTTGCTATTGGGGAAGAACACTAAACATCTCACGGACTGCTACTAGAACAAACAGGTATGTCTTGGAGAAGGTAGAGCCAGAGTGCTTCTTGGAGGCAAAGATAATAAAGCTCTCTCTCACATATTTTGGTCATATTGCTAGGAGAAGCTGTTCTGTGGAGAGGGACAGCATGCTTTGAAAAGTAGAGGGTCATGAAAGAGAGGAATACCCTTACTCAGATGGATTGACACAGTGACTACAGCAATGGGATCATGTATGACAGTGATTGTGAGGATGGCACAGGATAGGACAGGGTTCAGATCTGCCGTTCATAGGATTGCTATGAGTTATATTCCACCGGACAGCACGTAACAACAACCACTACTGCACATGTACATTGAGTTTTGGGCCACACCCTCGACTTCTGGATGGAAGTCAATTCAATCCTGTTTCTCTTGCTTTCTGGATTGCAGCTCTGCTTTTTTACGTTTTTACACCATTCTTTAAACCATTTGAGGATGATCTCACTCCATCAGCCCCAGGACACCGCATTCTCTGTCCTTTGGGCACTGCAACCCTGTCCCCCTCATCTTTGTGTGTGTGTCAGCCTTATCCCTTTTGCATACCTTAACTGAGTTGGCAAAGATCTGACTCTTTGAAACCTATTAGACTGCGGCTCCACCCTTTGTAACCAAGAAAGCCTCTTTTCGGTTTTACCAATATAGCTGCTCTGGTATGGTCCATTTCGTGCCCATCCTTTGAGGTCAAAAGATATAGCTACTTTGGCCTGTTTCCTGCCTGTGTAACTCAAGGAGGCAGACAGAATTCTTTTGTTCTTGTCTTTAGCCCTTCAGATAATAGGTTTTCTGTTGTGGTAGTTGATTAGATCCGTCAGTCACAGGCTTACTTTCATTTAACAAAAGGTTGTTTAACAGTCATGTCTTTGGTGAAAATTCTAGGACATATGCCCTTAGTTTGTAACATGATAAAACAAAATTCCTCAAGTTATTTTCATTGCACAGTATAAATAATTCCCTTTTTTAATAAAAAGTGTTTTCTCACTCATTCTCACTGCTGTGAGATCCTCCATGTTTTTAGGTACCACCTAGTCAACTGTGACTCATGGCTCCCCTGTGAACACAGATCAGAACTTCGACCTGTTCTGTACTCTTCTGACAATCTCTGGCATGCTTGAGCTCATTTTTGCAGTGATTTTGTCAGTCCATCTTATTGAGGATCTTCCTCTCTTTCCCTGACCTTAGGCCTCCTACAGCATAATATGTACCTTTTCCAACAAAATATCTTTTTCCAAAGACTCACCCTCTCCTGCCAACATACTCAAACTATGTGAGACCATATTTTACCATATTTGCCTTTACAGAGCACTCTGGATGCACTCTATCCATGCAGAGTTAGTTCTTTTGACAGTCTAATTCAAAATTAACCATTTTTATTCTGTTATCTTTATTCGTGATGTTGTCCAACTTTCTCATGCAAAGGAAGCAAGGTCTAATCAGACATCTCCCTTCTCCCTCCCATCTCTGGTTCTAGTGTAGTGTTTATTATCTATTCTTTTTTTTTTCCTCTCCCCTCCCTTGTTGTTGTATACCAACAACAGTTGGTATACCTAACTGAGCCTCTAGTGGGTTTTCAGAGGCAGTTAATTGCATGGGAGGAGTTTGCCCATCCTTCTCCCACGCACGGAGCAGCTGGTGGTTATGATTTGAACTTCGTGCCTTCAGGATCACAATGCAGCTTCTTTAAACTAGGCCATCAGAGCTCATTCCCTTATGATCATCCTATTTTTTTTTTTAAATAATAGTGCTCCTTTGCAGTATTTGTCCTTAAGTGACTGAAATATTTCATTCCACATAATGTCTTCCAGATTTCTCTATGATGTATAGCATTTTACAAGCTCATTGTTTTTCAGTGGTATGTATTATTATGTTGTGTGGCTGTACCAGTTTTTCTATCCATTTGTTTTGTTCTCAGACACTTGGGCTGCTTCCATCTCTTCGTCATCTGCAGTAAACATGGGTGTATGTACATCTGTCTGTATCACAGCTCTGATTTCTTTAGGGTATGTTCCCAGTAGTTGGAGAGCTAGGTCAAATGGTATTTTTATTTACAATTTTTTTGAAGAAGTGCTAGACTTCCTTCCATAATGGTTGTACCGATAAAACATTTTATAACACAGTCTTTTCTCAGTCTATCATGATATTACCTATTGATGTAGTGGTTAAAGTTTTTCCTCTTGATACTGAAATGTAATCCATATTGAAGGCTGTAGTCTTTGATCTTCTGCAGTAAATGCTCCAATTCTTCTTCGTTTTCGTCTAGTAAGTTTATCTGCATTACACAGGTGTTGATGAGCTTTCCTCCAACCCTTATGCCACATGCTTCTTCATATAGTCTAGCTTCTCAAAGTATTTGTCCAGCACATATAGATTGAATAGGTAGGGGAAAAGAATACAATCCTACCAATACACTTCTCTGATTTTAAAATATGCAGTATTTCCTTGTTATTTTCCAGAAAAATGCTTCTTTGTCTATGTATAGATTTCCAGGGAGCATAATTAATTGTTCTGGGATTCCCATGCTGCTCAGTGTTATTCAGAATTTGTCATGATCCACACAGTCAGATGCCTTTGCACATCAATAAAACAGATGCATAGATGCTCCGCTTGAGAAGGAGGGGTGATCTCCTCCTATGTCAGTTGGATCTGATTCAACGGTACTAACTAACTAACTAACTAAATACTTAAGTAAATCAATCAATCAAACAAACAAAACAGATTCAAAACTCTTTCTGGTATTCTCTGCTTTCAGACAAGATCCATGTGACCTCACACAGCCTCTTCTACATCCAGTTTGAAGTTCTGGCAGTTTCCTGTTGACATACTGTTCTGGATATTTTTTAATAATCTTTAGCAAGATTAACTTGCATTTCAATTAACTTGCATATCAATAATATTGTTTGCTGATTTCTGCACTCTGCCAAGTCAAATTTTTTTAGGAATTCAAACAAACATGGATCTCTTCCAGTCAGTGGCCTGGCATGTCCAGGGTTGTATCTGTTTGTTGAAATGTTTTAATTGGTATGCATCAATTCCTGGAGGCTTATTTTTTTTGCCAGTGATTTCAGTGCATCTGAGGTGTCAGAAACCTTGGCTTTTCTGTCCAGTTAGCCCCCACTGGGGGCGTGGTCTCCAGCTACCTTAATTGCGGACACATGGTTTTGCAAATCATCAACAGCTGTGGGACCAATATATGAGAGCATTTTCCATACTGTGAGAGATGGTGGTGGGGAGATTGTGAAGACAGTGGTGGAGAGACTGGGAAGAGACTATGGCACTGCTGTGAAATAACTATGGTAAGATGTAACCAGAGGAACTTTGGAGATGGAGCCACAGTTAAAGATTTTGCTTGCTGAATGACTGGAGGAAAAGCTGACTTGTAACTGCTCTGAGATAAAGTTTTCTGGATGATTGAGGAAATCAGAGGTTTATTTGTGCTGCTGAACTGAACCTAGATTTTGACTTGCTGACTGAAAAGCTATCTGAACTAATTGAAGAATTGTGTCTTGCTGTTAATGTGACGGGAGACTCCTGGACTAAACTTGGACTTGCATTTTGTGGTGGCATTTTGTGCCTCCTTCACTCTCCAACCTATTTCTCTAATAAACCGGACAACTGTGAATAAAGGCTGTTAGTCAAGTTGCAATGAATATTGGACCCCATATTGGTAGAAATGGGTGCAGGAGGTGCTTGGGGTGGCATGTCTGACCACCAGATATTTGTATGGTATTATATATATTATGGATGGGGAAAGTTCCCCTTAATGAAGCAGGTGGAAATCAGACTGGCCACCCCCGTGTTGCAGT